CGTCATCAGCCTTATTATTATTTTGTTTCTTTTTATATATATAAAATGGCCCCAGTTTGCAGGTTCTCAGAAGGAAGGAAATCTGTTGCAGGCGGTTACAAAGTCTCAGAACGAAGGGTTTATAAAGGCAGCTTGAGACTCGCTACTGTAATTCTGCTCTGTAGCTGCACGGTTCCCTTTGGCTCTGGTTGCTGCATTGAGTTTCAGTTCCCCGTGCTTTGAGGCTAAAGAGGCTGATATGTTAAGCTTCCATAAACCTTGAGGCCCTGACTCAGACATTTTATGTTGAAGTGCAGAGCCGTCGTCGGTGCGGTAAAGAGCAAGAAAAATGCTCCAAGATAAAGTTTGAGCCAGACGCAGCATTGCCTGCCTGTGCTCACGGACTGAGTACTATGCAGCCGCTCACGTGGGTAAAAAGAATTTGGCTGCGGCTCAACACAATCCGCGCTAAGGAAGAGGTTCAGAGAAGTCAGCAGCCTCATATGCCGTCTTCTCTGAACTCCTTCCTTAGTGAGGATTGTGTTGGGACGCAGCCACTTTTTATTTTTGCCCACGTGAGCTTCTGCAAAGTATTCACAGCAATAGCTAGATTGTTGACGAGGATAGCGCAGTCTATAACACCAATCCTGGCATGGCTGCACTGGCTACCAGTTGGTTTCTTGGCTCAATTCAAAGTTCTGGTTTTGACCCCAGTTCCTCAAGGACCACATCTCCTCACATGAACCAACCTGGACTCTGTGGTTATCATCTGAGGCCTTCTTTGGGTACCTTTCCTCAGGAGGTTCTGAGGGTGGCAACATGGTCGTCCCTGCTTTTGGAATTTTCTCTCAGGACAATACACCAGACAGCATCTTTTTCTTCTTCTTTTTTATTAAAGATTTTCTTGTTTTACAGAAGTATGTGTAATGTCTCTCGTATTTTTTCCATGTAACATTTTTACAATCATTTCATTTGTTGAGACATTGGGGGGGGGGAGAGATGGGGGGGTGGCGATGTTTCTATTTTGCTTAATGTATGTAAGGTTTGGTGTCAGCGTTCTCGTGCTGTTCATTTGTGTTCCTTTGGTGGTGGGAGAGGTTGGGGTTGGCCTAGGGTGTGGTTGTTCATTTGTGGTTGGCTGTGGTGGTCTTCGTTTTCGTGTGTGAGTGGGGTGGGTGGGTGTTTTGGATCAGGTTAGCCATACTGATTTGTATGCTGTTGGTGGATTATTGTCATTGTCTTGTTGGGCTGTGTATGTGATAAAGTGGAGCCATACCAGGGTAAAGGCGTCTTCTTCTGTTTGTCCCCGTGTCAGTTTCAGTTTATTAATTTTTCTAGTAGGGCTGTTTCCCATACTATTTGGTACCATTGGTCCATGCTTACTCCTGACAGGTCTCTCCAGTACCAGACAGCATCTTAATCTGTCTTCAGGCACCAGAGAGCTGACTGCTCCTTCCACTTGAATAAGACACTGCAGGAGCAGTGTGCAGAAGCTCCCTTGTGATGAAATAGAAAAGTAACAACTATCTTAGAACATATCTATCTCCCACCCCACCCTTCATTTCACTCATCCTGTCTTTTTTCCAGTGAGCTCAAGGCAGTGTACCAGGTTCTCACCGCAACCCTGTGAGGCAGGTTAGCCTGAGAGAGACTTAATGGTCCAACATCACTGAGTGAAGTTCATGGCTGAGTGGGGAGTTAAATCTGGGTTTCCACACACCTTAGTCTAAGACTCTGACCCAGGAGTGGAGAACTGGTGGGGGGGGTTCGAGTAATCCCAGACAACCAATGGTCAGGGCTTGTGGGAACTACAGTTTAACAACATTGGTTAGCCACCCCAACTCAAACAACTCCTGTCTCTTTAACTTTCCACGCTTTCTGCACCACTTGACAGGAGAACACTATCCTAGTGTTATTTTGTTTACTTATATCCCGCTTTTCCTCCTAGCAGCTCCCCCCTCCCTATTTTATCCTCACAACAATCTTGTGAGGTAAGTGTAGCTGACAGCCAGAGGCTGGCCCAACATTGCCCAATGAGTTTCATTGTTTGAACCTTGTCTCCCAGGTCCTGGCCCAACACTCTAACCACTGCACAACATCAAAGGAGTCTGGAATGTGTTTTATTACATAAGAGCAGGGAATTTATTCCTCTCCATGGTACACTTCAAAGTATTCAACCCATCCAAAAGCTGCCATGCTGTGATGCTTAATGGAACTGTTGTTCCACACTTTGCTATGAAATAAAGAAGCACAATTATGGCCTCTCAGTATAAACAAACAAGGAAGGAGAAAATGGTTCAGGAAGGAGAACCCAGCAGTTCTGAACATGTCTCTTTAGGACAAAACTGGCAGGGAAGAATGACCTGCTAATGTGGTGAGAATGATTAGAATTCAGTTTGTTTCCTGATGGCACAGGGTTTGTGTGTTGCCTAATCAAGTTTGTAGGAAGCCATAAGCTCCGAAGTATCTTTTAGAAAAATCAGTGACTCAAGGTTGCAGACAAGTAGGACCAGAGGTAATAAGCTCTGGGACAGACCAGATAATTTTCCTGCTAACATTTTCTTGCCCATTATCACAGCCAACCATGCTAATGGAAGGGAAAGGAATAGATGAGTCTGTCTGTTATGCTGGGTTTGCTGAGCACAACTTCCATTCCCCCTACATACTGGGAATGGCAAGTCAAACGCTAGCAGAGGCCTGTTTTCCAAGGATGCTGATTTGAATTCTATCCAAGGCAGTGTAAGAATTGCATGCACTCCAGTAATCCCAATAATTTTTTAATATTCATTCCTAGGCAATGCCTCTGCCTGTAATCCGCTTTTAATAAGCGTGGGCTTTTACAGTAGTAGAAACAAGCTTTGCAACATCCATTGACTGGGTAAGTGTACTGATGCAAATTCAGCCCTGCCTGCTCTGACCTAGTTGTGCATTCCATTCCACATAATCAATGGTTTCCTACTATGGACTAGTTCACTTCCCCCATTTTTCATCATAGTGGTTATCCTAGTGCTTAATTACTTACAGCCCATGCGATTATTAAACTTTATTAAAAAGGCAGCATGGTATTTGCATCGCCCAACCTTTCCCTACAATAAATTAAGGGTTTTTTTGTCAGCTTGATGCTACCAAATCTAGATCATTGTGGGGATTATTGATAAATCATTGAACTGCAACTCCATCAGCCCCAGTCAGCATGAGCAGTGGTCAGGGTTGATGCAGTTCAGAAACATCTGTAGGGCCAATTATCTAGATGCTTAGCTCCTGAAAATATCAACAATTTATCTCTCATTCTGCCAAAATAAACAGAACTGAAGAGTCAACAAGGGCAAGGGTGATCTACATGCAGGAATCACTGCTCACCCTTTTGATTGTAGTCCCATATGCATCAAAGGTAGGGGGAGCCTCATGTCCACCTGTGGGTGCATATTTCTGGCCCACCTTGATGTTTGCTGCTCACCAGATTTGAGAGTACCAATCATCTGGGGATGAGGGATGGGGAACTATCTTTAGCTGCTTCCCCTCTCAACAGGATGGATGAAGCTCATAGTGTCAGCCATGTGTTTGGCGGAAGCAGCCAATAATAATAAGGGGCCTAATAGTTTATGCCATCTTTGGACTGGTGGCATAAACTTATTATGCCCAGTATTATTAACTGTTTACAGTGGACCCTCCAGATATTTATTCAATTCATTCCAGGGGGTCCGTCTGCAACCCAAAAAGTCCATAGGCAGAGGTGCCGCTTCTGAGTGCACACACAGTGCGATTGAGCACTTCTGAGCATGCGCACATGGCGAATCCGGAAGTATACACTTCCAAGTTTGCCACGTTCGTAACCCAAAGAGCAGTACATAACTAGAGGGTCCACTGTATTTAGGAAAGTAATGCTGAAGACCTTTCTGTGTACACAGGCTTTTTCTGATGTATAATTCAATCCATCAGTTATTGTGTATCACTGTCCAGATGTCAACACCTAAATAAGCTCATTTCTTGTGCAGCACATAAGGCTATAAAATTCATAAATAACTAAGCACATAGGAGAAAGTTAGTTGAATCAAAGGCAGCTGGAAGGTCAATAAGGGCAAGGCCTTCAGATTTTGCAGTGAGGAGGCAATCAGTTATTTTTGTGAGGGCAGTTTCACTGGCATGTAAGTGAAGCAAAACAGATTGTAGGGTGTTGAAAGTTGGAGGGGGCTTCTGATGGTCTGGAGAGTTGATGGAGTAGGCAGCATGCTTCAGAACTCTGGGGGTCAAGAGAGCTGGGGAGATAGTTGTAAAGGAAGATGGGTCAAGGGATGTGTTTATGAAAAGTGAGAGTGAAATCACTGAATGCGGGGGGGAAACTGAGGAGAAAGACCAATTATGTGGCAGAGGAGGAATAATGATGCGGAGATATGGTAACCAGAACTGGAAGGGCATGGGTGCAAGAGGGTAGAGGGAAGGATTTGATGAGATGAATGTTAGAGGAGGGCAGAGGGAGGTGATTGGTACCAATATCTATTCAGCAGCAGAAATACTTACTGACAGTTTGTTTCTGTGAACAAGGCCCTCTTGACCAAGTCTACTCTCTGCAATTATATGCTATTAAATACTTGTAAATACTACTCATTTTAGTTCAATAGAATGTACCAAAAGTAATAGACATAGACTTTCTGTTGCAACAAAACCAGCAAAGAGTTTTGTAATGCTATCTGAAGCTAACAAATGTATTGCAGATTAAGTTCGATTTAAAGTGCTGCAAGACTCTTGTTTCAAAGCCAAAATCTTGTAATTTCTTCCTAGATTGAAATTTCAAGAGTTTTTATGTTGCATCCTCTTTTCACCCATTGCAATAAATGACTGAGAACAGAAACATAAGTATATATATATATTTCTTTATTTATTAGCGAAGGTATCTAAAATACAATATTAATTTCTTTTTTTAAATTATGACATTATTATTTTTCAGTGGAACAATACTCTGTATTATAGCTATGGTATCAACAATTTTTACACATAATAGTACTTAATTTAGCTCAGTTGACATTTTTGTAATTAAAAAAATAAAATAACACTAACATTAAGACATGATTCAGATTTATCGCTAAAAATGTAAAACAATTAAAATATTTACACTTCAAACTTTTTTAAAAAGCTAAGAACTCAGTCCTAATTTTGCATTACAATGCCTATGTTGCTACAACGTATTCTTCTAAATCAGATGTAAAATGTTCATATTAGATTGCATTCCTGTGCTTCCATGAAAGATTCAAGTTACTGAGTACGTTTAACCTCATATGTTCCATGAGGTTATATATATTTTTTAATTTAAAAAAATGGCTTATTTTTTCTGTTGCTTATCATCCTATCCTTTGGCAAGCTGCCAAATGAAGATCTCCTATTACAGCCTCAGCACCAAAAAATAAAAAATCACAGCAATTCTCATCAAGCACCACACCATGATTCCCCATCCCTGCCCTCTTTAGCCTGGCATACACACTGCAAACATGCCGCAAACACAACCACACTTTATGGCCTTCATTATTAGAAACGTCAGAAGATGATAGGCAGAAAGCACTGGGGTTTGGGGGAGAAGAGAGATGTTGCCAGTGCATGTATATGGCAGTAGTTTGATTTGTGCTTAGCGGAAAATAACTCAACCCTCAAGGACACAGCAATGTTTAATGGGCGCAGCTTATTGGAATGAGGCTCTAACTTCCCTGGTCTTCAAGGGCTGGCAAGGGCGCCAGTTGTCCACCATGGCACAGTGGGACTCGCCCTCGCAACTGAAGCAAAGGCAGCGGAGCTTGTCCATCTGGAGAAGAGAAAAGGAAGAAGCAGGTGTCAGCTTCCAATTAATTTTTATTCATTTATCTGTCACGTTTATATCCCACCTTTTTCTCCAAGGAGCTCAAGGTGGAGTACGTGGTTCTCTCCCTCCATATTTTAATCCCTGTGAGGTTGGTTAAGCTGAGAGGCAGTGACTGACCCAAGGTCACCCAGTGAGCTTCATGGCCAACTGGTCATTCAACTCTGGTCTCCCACATCCAAGTCCACACAGGCTTTCAGAATACCCTATTGGAACTCTCAGGATTTGGGATTATCTTTACACTCTCAGCTTAACCAACCTCACAGGGTTGTTGTGATAATAAAATGGAAAAGGAAGAGAAACTATGAGTGCCTTGGAGGAAAGGTAGGCTATAAGTAGAATAAATAGGCAAAACATAGTTCTGCCACAGTAGTTCTGTGTCTTAATCCATGCATTACAATACTTCCGCATACACCCAACTTCACCCAGAAATATGCTTTTCAAAAGAGACCTTCTTTGCTAAACCTCTATGTGTACGGGATGTATTCAGTTGTAACACAGAAATCGGAGGGAGACCTTTCAGATCCCCTATGTGTGATTTATTCACTTCTTCAGATCTAATTCCAAATTCCAGGACAATGAGTGGATTTCATTATGCAGCACTCATCCATATGTGAAGCTCTTTCATGTGTGATGTGGCGAATGTACTTATAAATCAGTGCGAGTTGTGCTGGTTGGAAATATCCCTCATTTCATTTAACTGATTGAGGGTGTTATGTCTATGAACAGACACAAGTGAATGGAAATTGTTTATGCAAATGCGAGAATGGCCATGCCATATGAGAGATTAATATGCTTTTTGCAGCAAAAAAGGGGGGGGGGGTTATTCACCTGTTCCTTGCTGACAGTCACGGGCTCCTTCAGAACAATCCAGGTGACACATTCAAGCAGAGGAGGAGTGGTCAGTGATCCTGGGTAGGTCCAGAAATCACGGGAGGCAGGAAGCAGACCGGTTGGATCAAAGTTTGTGAAGGCAGCCTGTTTGCCCTAGAACAGATAAAGCTCTTTGATAAAGCAGTCCGATGCAGTAGTGAGTAGATGATGTGTACACACACTTTGCCTGTAATTCCGTAGCATGCCAAGGATAGCTGTGTATTTCTTTCCACAAGTGTATAACTATGATGGAGCTGGGGGGGGCTGGAGGGGGGCGGGGAGGAGATGCAGGGAGGTGTGGCATTGCTTCAAACAAGGTGGTCTTGCATTCGAAAGCTGCACGCTAAAAAGTGGTGCAATCTAAGTGAGGGTAAACCTACTCTCCTTAGAGATATATGAGACTATGCAAAGCAACTGAGCAAGGGGAGGAGGATGCATTTTCCTTTTCAGCCCCCCCCCCCCCACAGCACCAAATGAGCAGAATCTTTCAAAACGCTGGAGAAACCAAAGTGCATTTGAAAGCAGCGTTTTTTTGTTTCTGGGTCTCTTACTGACAAAAGATTATTGAAGAATAATTGCCCAGGTAGAATAGATGGAATGAGAAGCTAAAAGCAATCCCTTTGGAATTCCCTTGCAATTTTGTTCTTTGAAAGAAGAATGCAGGAAACTGCAGTGCAGTCATTCTTAGCTGCCAGAAAGGCAGAAGCTTTACCTTGTGTTTAATGGTGTCCAGAGCATCAACAACTTTCTGTATTCCAGGACAGGCACTTCCTACCTGTGATATAAAAAGGCGTAAAGAAAAGGTTATGTGCACGAATGCATATGAATTTATATCATTACACCTCACAGCTCAGCATACATTTACATTCCCAGCATAAATTTATGTTACTAAGAGAGTAGTAAGAAACAAAAAATATATTTTAACAATATTATAAAGGATACAAACTAACATAACAAGTTAAAACATCAACAATTCATCTAAACAGTAAAATCAAATTGCTCTAAATTAAAAATGCTTACATTCCCATTTCTTAAAAGCCTGGGGAAACAGAAATATATATTTTTGAAGGGAACCTAAAAGATAATAAGGTTGTCTCCCTGGGGAGGGAATTCCAAGAGCGAGGATCTACCACAGAGAAGGCTCTCTTACATTTCCTGATTGAATTTTAAACAAATGCAGTGCTCCAAACAAGGTCATCTTGCATTCAAAAGTTACATATTAATGAGAGAGTTAATCCCGATTATCCTGTCATCTTTCACAGTAAAAATTTAACTGTCTTTCACTATCTGCATTTGGTAAGGGAACTAATCAGTTAGCATTGTTTTAAAAGCTGAGTATTTTACAACCTAATGCCTTAAGTATATATCCACATGAAGGAAAATCTAATTTATTTCTCTGGATTTTTGCTCCAAGCCAGAGCGCCTTGGTTCACTATTTCATATACAGACACCTAATGTGTACACCATAAAGAATGAAAGTACACTGCCACAAGCTGTGAAGGGTAAAGAATCATTTGCTGTTTTCCTTTTCAAAAAGGTGAAAACTATCCTGGCTATCACTTTAACAATAAATATGATTTATTTATTTATTTATACCCCACCCATCTGGCTGGGTTTCTCCAGCCACTCTGGGCGGCTCCCAGCAGAATACTGAAACAGAATAAAACATCAAACATTAAAAACTTCCCTAAACAGGGCTGCCTTCACATAACTTCTAAAAGTCAGATAGTTGTTTATTTCCTTGACATCTGATGGGAGGGCATTCCACAAGGTGGGCGCCACCACCAAGAAGGCCCTCTGTCTGGTTCCTGTAACCTCACTTCTCGCAGTGAGGGAACCACCAGAAGGAAAGAGGAAACACCAAGCACATGTACGCCCTATAGAACCGATTCAGTGCAAGTATGTGTGTGCATTTTATACCCAGGTATGTGTGTATACCTGGCTACAAAATGTGTAAGAACAGAGCCAGGTCAAGACATTTTGTTCCCTGAAGCAAAGGCAAAATAGCACCAAGCATTGGGTCAACTAGAGTGAAAGTTCAACACTCGCATCCTCTGCTACACCAGAGGACAGCAGACTAGCTTAGAGGGTGAGGGATGATTGGCTGTCACAAATAGCTCTGCTTTCCAATACCTGACAGCCACTTGCTCACTGGTCCACTTGGCACCCACTTCCTGCCCACTCAAACAAACACCGCAGTGAAGCGGCTGTGGCTTGTCACATGAGGAGAGCAGTGCACCCCAGCGCTTCACTCTGCCTAATGTTAAAGCTGACCCGGTGTGGGAAACTGCTCTGTATGCTTAATATTTGGGCCCCAATCATTTTAGCTTTTTAAGACTTATCAGTACAAACTGAAGCTGCTTGACATTTATGCAGCATGTGGTTTGGCTCACTTGCATGAGTCACCTGGACGTATTTGCTCTGCAAGCAACTTTCTGCACTATAACTTATCTTGGGGCTTGCTATGGGTGGGGTGGGTTGACTGATTTGTAATGTTTGCTAGCAGATAATGGTTCTGTGTTATAGAAGGAGGTTGGTTTTACGTGGCTTTTTGGAGCTTTTTGGACCCTTCTACTTCTAAGATGCTGTGATTTTATTATTATTATTATTATTATTATTAAAAAAAAACACTTGATCAGTTCTCACAGGACTAAAATAAAGGGAACACGGTATCACAAAGCCACCTTGAATGCCTGTGAACAGAAAATTCAACTTCTGCTGGAGGCGTAAATCACATTGTACAAAATGTTCTCTTGCAAAGCCAGCAATGATAGCAAAAGAGGACATAATGGTACTAACCTTCAAAAACACGCCCACAACAGCCAGACCATCAGGATGTTTCACAGCTTCACCAGAGCTACCATACTTTGTGTTCCAATGAACCAAATGAAGCTGGAGCCAAAGAAAAATGCAGAAATGAAGCGACCTATCAGAAAGGCCTTCTCTCAAACTGAAGAACCAAGATAATTCCCATACTAAACATTAACACGTCCTTTTATGGCCGAGACAAAAAGCTACTGAAAACTTGTTCAGCCATTGATTTGCGCTTTTCATTCACTGAGAAAGGCAAACATAGATATCAGAGCTGTGCTCTCATGCTGGCATTTTACACCCACTCAAACAATTTCCTAAATGCAAACATTCTGCCATATCCTGAAGCACATATTCTGAAAAATCCCTGTGGCCTTTAGCAGGAGCCCTGCTTGATTGAGATCTATTATATATTTCTTTTAAGTCAGTAGGTAATTCAGTAGCTTGAGTCCAAGCAGTGAGGAAAGGCAAGCAATGGTAAGCTTCTCTGCAGGTGGAGTGCCATAATACCACTACTGACAACCAGTGTGGTGTAGGGTTTAGATTGCTGGAATAAAACCAGGGAGACGTGGATTCAAATTCCCATTTGGCCATGAAGCTCAAAGGAGAGGTCTTGGGCCTGTCACTGTCTGCCTTACCAGGTTTTTGTGAGGATAAAATGGTGGAGTCAGGGAATATGTCTTCTGCCTTTAGCTTCTTGGAGGAAGGCCTGGATTAAAAACATCTCATGAAAGGACTGGAGCCACCATGTGAAAAACTTGCACCTTGCCCCCAGGTGACCTTCATATGCTTCATATCAAAATGGTTGGGAGTTCACATACTCAATAAATTTGATGTTTAAATAATCCCACCTGCCATCAAATTTTAGAAGCTTTTCTTTGATCAGAAGATGTCACTATGTCTATCCTTGAGACCTGCTTTTATCAACAGTTTCAGGATCTTTTCGAATACCTGACATACCCAGAAGGGGGGATCATTCCATATCAAGTGATCCAACTTTTGTACCTCATGTCATCCAATTTTATTAATATTTTGTACACCTGTTGAATGATCGAAACTAAGTGTAAATATAAAATTTCATTTTTTAAAAGAATCTAATCCCGCTTGTGAGTTATGTGGGTTTGAAATTTCACTTGGTATGGAATGACCCAAGGAAGCCCTGAGAAGAGGAAGAACAGGGCCTTACCTCAGCATCATATTTCACCCCATCCACAGTGTGTTCAGAGCCTTGGCCTTCACAGGAACCCCAATGAATGTGGAACTGAAGCAGCTTGTAAGTTCCCTCAACTGGACCACCTTTCAGCACTGCAAGTGAAAAGAAAGAAATAGCTATATTTACAACATTTTATTAATTTATTGACTTAAAATACCTTGCCATTTCAAGGTAGCTTACATAACAGAAATAAAAACTACAACATCATTTAAAAAAATGTATAAAAACACAATATGACTTCTACAGATCACCCCTGAGGTGAATAATAAGGATAAAAAATGCACCCAGCTCATAATATAAAACTTGATTTCCACAATTAAAAAGAAAGCAGTCAAGCCAAGGAAGGTGGAATTCAATATAAAGGGGGGGGTTACATGAGAAATATTAAAGGCACAATAACAAAACATTAGACTTGGAAAGGCAAACATGAAGATTGGATAGAAGGCAGATAATGTAATGTATGTGTGAATTCACTGAGCTTCCTGCAAGTAGTGCAGTTAAGCCATTATAGACTATGGACTGAGAGATCTCTAGGGTCTCTCCCCTTCCCCATCATTTTAGATCAGCGCTGGGGAAACTTTGGCCATCCCAATGTTATCGGACTCCGATATCCATCAGCCCCAGCCAGCATGGCCAGCAGCTAGGGAATATAGAAACTGGAATCGAACAAGATCTGGAGGATTACAGGTTCCCCACCCCTGCTTTTAGATGGGAAGTCAGTTCTGCTGCTTTTGGGGATGCGTCCTGCTGCTCAGTGATGCTCTGGACCTGCCACTGGTAAGAAGAATCAGTGGAAACAGAAGGCCTCCCTCCCTGCTTGCACTGAGCTCATACAAATTCTGGATAGAGACAGAGAGAGGTGCCTTAAATGTGCTTTTTTCAATAATAAAAAAACGAAGCTTTCCCAGCATGAGCACACATAGTTTTAACTCTGCAGAGGTTATCAGCCATATTTTGCCTTTTTCTGTTTGGTAAAATTAAACTAAGCTAGATGGGTCAATTGTCTGACTTACAGTAAGACACCTTTTTAAGTTCCTATACAGGGCTATAGTATAAAATGCATGCACAGTTCATTATGTATGGGTTGAACCGCCTCCCCCACCAGACAAATAATCCCATGCCTGAATGTACTGTACTACTGCTGACATGAGACAAACTAATAAGGATTTTAAAGGATTAGGCCATGTTGTCCCCGACTAACCCACAAGCCATTATTGACGAGTTCAATTGGGGCAAAGTTCTAATCACTATCTAGCAGCAGAATGCCGTATTTTGGGAGGCTGCATATTTTTAAAACATTATCTCTCATAACCATGCTTTCTATATTTAGATATATTTTTGACTTGGTTCTGTACAAACTGAGTGGCACATTCTGAATGGCTACACAAATGTCCTGGTTCAGAACACATATATAGAACACATTTAGAGAGTCATGAGAGTACCTTCTTTCACCCTAAAAAACTTTTTAGCAGTGTTGATTTTTTTTAAACCTGATAAATAGCTGTAGGGTGTCCCAGGGTGAAGTCAGCTGGGGTTTTTGATAGCACCAGAAGGTTTAGCAAAAGGAGATAACTTTCAGAAAAGAGCAGCACACCCAACTTTCTTGAAATGGCCCTTATTTGCACATACTTGGTGTTGATTGTTTGTCAGCGATTAGGACTTGCCCTAAATGAACTCGTCAGGAGAGCTTGAAGCCCTGAAGAAAGTCTACTCCTATTTAAAGACCCATTGCTATTCCTGGGTATCCCAAGTCCTCATATGACACAAGGGACTTAGGGTTACTTCATATGCACTGTTTTGCACTGGTATCACTTCTGGTTAACTTCACACACAAACACACTCACCCCAAACCTGCATGTATGTTGATGAAGCAAAAGGAACCTTTTTGTGTTGAATATGTAAACAAGTTTCTGACTTCCCAACTCTTAAAAAAAAAAGTAGCAAAAATGGTACATTTGCTTCATCAGACACAACAAACTATGCAACTTTGTCAAACTGCACAAACTGTAGTAGTCACAGGACTTGGCAGATGTGTCCCACCTATGACCCACATGTAGTTTGCGACACATAAGTGCTATTTTTGGAGTGTGTGAAATAATCCTATTAAGCTGTTAAGAGTTTACACATATATTATTATTATTTTATTTATTTTATTTAGATAACTCCCTTCATCTGAAGATCTCAGGGTGGTTCACAAAACAATAACCTCACCTCCCACAAACATATTTGAATGGCTGTGTGATATTAATCAGCCAAAGAGATGGCTGAAGAGGAACATTTTCACCTAGTGCCTACAGATGTATCATGAAGGCACCAGCCAAACCTCTCGGAGAGAGCATTCCACAAATGGGGGGCCACTGCAGAAAAGGTCTGTTCTCATGTTGCCACCATCTGGGCCTCTGGTAGAGGAGGCACACAAGGATGGGCCTCATAGGATAAATGCAGAGTCTGGATTGGTTCATATGGGGAGAGGCAATCTTTGAGTACTATTATTGGGCAAATAGGTACATACATTCACGGACATCTACTTTATTTCTACTTGTATGTGTTGTTCCTAGACATGGTAGGTAAGGGGAAAAGGAAGGAGGGCAGAAAGAGGGGGAAAATTAATCTTCTCCTCCAGATTATATTTGTTGTTGTTGTTTAGTCATTTAGTCGTGTCCAACTCTTTGTGACCCCATGGATCAGAGCACACAAGGCACTCCTGTCTTCCACTGCCTCCTGCAGTTTGGTCAACTCTGAAGCAAATCCTATTGATTTGAGTGGGACTTCTTCCAAATAAATATGCCTAGAATTACATTCTGTGTTGGAAATGTTCTATTATTCAATGTTGCCTTAGTATGAAATTTATTTGTATTTAAATGTTTTTCCAGATGGAAAAGCAGAGCATTATTATTATGCTCAAAACCATTAGAAAATTTAAATAATAAAAAATATAAAAGCATGAATTATTATTGTTATTATTTTGCTCAATACCATTAAAAATGAAAACAAATATGCAAAAGCTGTCTAATTATTCTAAGCAATATGGAGACTAAGAAACTGAGGGGGAAAGTCTGGGGGAACTCTTGCTTTTAAACAGGGCCATTTCTCTTGATGATCCTCGATTCTCAACCACCCATCCCAACCCCAGTGAGGCAGTTGTCTATAATAGAAGCCACTAGTTATGGCATGAAGAGACATTTGAAAAACAGGGTGGAAAAGTGTCCTTATAGAAAGGTGGTCTCCCTCTGGTTGTCACCCACAGTCTGTATCAAAAAGTTCAGCCAGGGTGAGGCTCAACTGCTGGCAAATTGTGAATGTGTGCATACATTGGATATTTTGGGAGTTGTTTCATAATTTTTTGAGTTATCACTCCAAAACAAAACTTCTGCCATATCAAGGTTTCCAGCTGCCTACTTTAGAGCTAGAAGAGGTGTCTTTCAGTGATAGCAGACTTTTTTCTGAATCTTTATATGCTTCGGTTATTAATATTAAGCATAATGATTAAATAATATATACTAAAACTGGACAAATAAAACTGTATCAGAATGAGCAAAAAAACCTTAAAATGTTTTGAAATACAGTATTCATTATACAAGGAGGAATTAACCTGCTTCAATACATACATACATACATACATACATACATGTTAAATAAATTAATCCATATAAGTATGAGATTAACTGAGCTGTGGGCTAGATAATGATAACCAATCCTGGTTAAGCACAACTGGAACCTCTGGAATCTCACACCGCTCAGAGATTGGGGGTGGCATGTAACATTTTATATTGTGCTAATCCTTGGCTAAACAACAAGCAAGTTTGCCAGTTCACCCATTTGCTCTTAAAATGAATTATGATTCTGTGATCGCAGTACTGCATTACATTATAGACATGTCAATTTCAAAGAGTTTTCAGCTTTTCATGTTTTATTACTCATCCTCCATGAAAGATAATTTATATCTATGAAAGTGTGCAATCATAGCTTTCAGTATTTCGCCTGCTTTTAAGAGCACTGTCTTTCTACAAAGAACATTCAGCAAAAAGGCATGTCAGGAGGGAAAGATTATTTTCTATTTTGTTTATTATTAAAAACCATATATAAGTTCTTTATTAACTTTCATCAATTTTAGCATGGTTTATGCCACTACATTAAAACAAATTCACTAGTGATGGATTCTTTGTTTCCAGAAGCATGCTCAGTCAGAAATTAATTAATTTACTATGGATTTTACCATTTATTAATCAAAAGGTTCCAAACTGGTTTTAAATGTTCTCTTTACATTATTGCTTTCTAACATCCTCTTCCTTTTCTATAACTGCATTTTCAGATGGTCATCACACTCCGCTGTGGCTTTGTAATAGTGGTGGTCTGGATATTTTCTCACAACAGGCTTTAAAACTCCCAAAACTTTAAATCGTTGATGAAACGCCTTTATTTCTGAGCATCACCAGTTCAGAGACTGATGCCAACTGCAATGTTCTGGTAAACAAATTTTGGGGTGATCTACTTGTTGGAATGGCTCTGGCATGGTCCAACAGATGTACAGGGCAATCCTGTGCATGTTTACTCAGAATAAGACCCACTTAGATTTACTCTCATGTCAGTGTGCATAGGCCTGTGGTGTAAATGAACATTTTTTGACATGACTGCAGAGGAAGAACGGATTCAGAATTGGATTCAGAGATCTATGAGCAAGCAAGCCACTCATTTCTGCCACTGAACAGATGATCAGCAGCAGGGGGGGGGGGGGAGCACTTTCCTGCACTTGAACCCCCCCCCCCCCAGAGAAGTCAAGACTCTGTGAATTCAGCAGAGGGCAAATAGGATGCTGCAGCAACCCTCAGGCGTCTCTGAACTGAGGGCAGAACTAAGCAAGCCACCCAGACTGCTGGCTGTTGTGAACCACTGTGTGATTGTTTTGGATGAAGGGCCAAATATGAATTTAAATACAAAAGATGCAGGGTATTTTCCCACCCAGATGTCTCCTGCTTCTGTACACATAGGGGCCTTTTGATAGAACTGTGTGATTAGCTAGTATTTGTTTCAGCAAAATCTGCTTGAGTACCAAATGTGCTGAGCCAAGAGGAAAGCTTATTCATTCTAATGTCAAGAGGTTAATTCTGCAAACCTTTTCTGCTGCATGTAGTGGTTACTACTGATGTCCATACAGGGCAGGTCCATAAAACAACAATTAAACAACCCAGTTATGCTAATATGGTCCCAGCATAATTCTAAAATCCCAATACTTCATTGCAATCATGCTGTGATTGGGCTGTAGAGCTCACATTTAGATGTGGATCCTATAGCTGGCCTATAAAAACAGTCTGAAGTCTGAACATTTTGCAAGGGATTGTTTATGCACTTTCGGGGCATTTACTAGTTTGGCAAAGGTGCAGCCACCAGATACAGGCAAACGAACTGCAGCCATGGGAGTGGGGACAGAGAAAACTGCACAAATGATTACAAAGGGAGCTTAGGTTTACAGAAAACATGTTTCACAAAAACAGCATACAAATCAAAATCCCAAATGTAATTCCAAGGGGGAAATTGGACCCTTTTGTCAAAGTCTTTCAACAAATGTATGTGCCGAATTGATTTTCTGCTGTCCGGGGACTTATGACATTTCTGAAGCTATACTAGTGATCATTAAATGTTATGGGTGTGCTATAAATGGCCAACTGCCAAATCCTGCCCATCAAATGTAACAGAACTGAGCAGATGTGTGTATGCAATAAGAACTGCAGCGATAACTAATTTTCTGGAATTCCCTTATTGCACCAACAGAGAGTCTGGTTCCTAAAGCAGTCCTACACATCCATTTTCTGTTAGGATCAATAGTGGCTATCATGTACAGAATAGTCACTTTATAACTGACAGAATACATGTTTGGAGGATTCTGTAATAGATAAACATCGAACAGGATGTGCCACCAGAGAACACATTTTATAAAATGTCAAAATATCATATAGGATTGAACAGCCACAGAATTTCCCTTACACCAAAGAGGTGCAGAACATGAAATGTTTCAATAAGGAAGTGACTGGATTTTTAAACAGCAGATTTTAAGTTTGGCGGCCAAAATAAAAATACAGCAGGCCATTCAATATGCAGGGTGTGTGTACCTTGCAGCAGTCGGGGGAAACCTATGGCCCTCCAAATGTTGATGTACTGCAACTTTCATCTGTCCAAGTCAGCATGGCCAAATGTCAAGGAGGATGTGAGTTGTAATTCAACAGCATGTGTTTTAGCAGTTTGTAAAATGGTGTGTGTGTGTGTGTGTGTGTGTGTACAGGTTAATATGTGTAGTTACAAAATAGCTTATGCCTTAAGACTTCCTCTATACCAGTGCTTCCCAAAATTGGGTCTCCAGCTGTTCTGGAACTACAATCCCCATCATCCCTGAATGCTGGTCCTGCAAGCTACAGACGATGGGAGTTGTAGTCCAAAAACAGCTGGAGACCCAAGTTTGGGAAACACTGCTCTATTCTATAAAAATGTACATGGGCATAACAGAATAGCATGCATTGACAAGAACATGGACATGACTGGACTTCAACTTTACTTTATTTTTTCTACTGAGGGTTATATCAAATGTCAGCGCTACCCAGAGAAGACCCCCTGAAATCAATAGCCATGACTTAGACTGCTTGAAATTAATGGCCCTATTTGGAGTAGGACTTAGTTGGCTACAACTCTAAGCTTTTAATTGGAAGTCAGTGAAATTTGCAGTGCCGGAAATCTGTAAACAGGTCGCTTGGGAAATCCAGTCGGTATTTTTGTGTGTCACATAAACAGGACGGCTAATTAATTTCACAACAGATTATTAACTTGTTAAACTGCTTTATACTGAGTCAGGTCTTTAACCCAGTTTCATCTTCTCTGACTGGCAGAGGCTCTTGTGAGGTTACAGGCAGAGGTCTTTCCCAGTCCTGCCACCTGACTTTGAACTGGATATGGCAGGGATTGGGTTTGAGACCATGCAATACACAAGGATTCCCTTCTGAGCTTTAGACTCAATTTAGATAATCAATACAATTATGTGTGCATGCAGGTTCATTTGGTTATGCATTGTGCCTTTTGAAAACCAGAGGAAAACCTGAGGCACCTGCTGCTAAATCTACATAGCTGTGGCGGCTCCCCCCCCCCCACCTGCCACCCGCGTACTTGCAGTCCACAGATGAGCTGCTTTGAGCATTTCAACTCTAGCCCTGTCCTCCTCCCACTTCTCCCTCCCACTCTCTGCAAGCTGTAGCTGCCTGAGACTGGCTTGCTGGCTGCTGCAGAATCAAAATGATCAATGTCTGTGCCGTATTTTCTGGCTAAGCCACTCTTCCAGTGGATCTGAAAACATCCACACATCCCTTCAATTTGCAGCTTCGTAGGGACTTTATAAAAACACATGCTACAGAAAAGCCTTTCATCGTGCTAGATGTATGAAGCCTGGAGTTTGGAGGTGTTGTGAGTCCTCACACCCCCCACTGCCTTGCTCCAGCTTGAAAGGGACTCTAAAATACAATGAATAATACAAACTCCTAAGCAATGAATAATACAAACTCCTAGCAAAGGATTCTGAAATGTGGAACTACGGGGGGGAGGAGGAGGTGGGCAGTGGCATCACCACTGTCACAATGAGTTGCCAACTATGCTCACTAGCAAAGAGATCTGGTAAAAATTTTGAAAATCTTAGTATCTCTTTTCTTTAAGGAACAAATTTAATATGCACCCTACTGTTAAGTGGGGAAAAGGTGTCTCTTTCCATTAAACTTTAACAGTTAAAGTTTAGAAACCAATGCCGTTTTGATTATTGCAACTGTATGGAGCACAGATCTCAATTCCTTGCCCTCATTATTTGATCTCCCAGCACCATATGCCCATTGTACCCTTTTATTTTTTTCTCTCTCTCTCTCACTGTGCAAAATAATTGAAACTGAAGATGTAATATTCTAGAGAACCCCAGATTTTCAGCCAGAACAATATATGGAATTTGCACAATTGCAGAATTTGGCTTATAGGGTTTTGGAGAAGACTCCTCTTTCTGTGTGCAAAACTAGTGTGCACAGACAGATAACTGGATGAGTCTAAAAAGATTGAAAGCATGAGCCATGCAAAAATTAAATTCAATACTTAGTAGGTCTCTATTCTTAAATGTTTTTCATTTACTTTTATAGTGGACTTCACTGAGTGTAAGGTGCTGGGTGCCTTTAACTTCTTTTGGCTACAACTGCTGTCTGTTGCGGGAAACTGGATACCAAGGAAGTGGTGTGTGACAGAACTAAAAAACTATTGGAAAGATATTCTGCATTTTGTTTGACATTTACTTCGGCTCTTTCTTCCCCCTCTAGTAAATACTGATAGTAAAATGGGGTATTGCAGATTTAAGTACATGTGCTGGCTCTAGTCCACCAGCCATTTTACCCCCAGAGTTGTCCTATTAAAAATCAAAGGAAGTAGGCCTTGGATTGCAGCCTGTGACATGGTTGCTTGCAATACTGTTTGGAAAGCTCACAAGTCAAAGCTGCTCTGGGCTCTTTGAATTTGTCCCCTCAATGACACTGCCAACGTGGGGGAAAAATAGGACACTTACTTGCTCAAGCAAGTTAAAGGAGCCAGTGCCTAGTGAAACAAGCAGCTTCTGTCTTTACAGCAGTACCATTTCCTACATTTAAAAGCTCATTCACAGTCACTGTAGGCAGGTGAAAATTGCTGCACAGGCAGCTGATGGAGAAATTACTAAAAACCAAGCATGCACACTCTTACTCATAAGCTTGGAACATCAGCATTGTCCATATGATCACGGAATTATCTTTAGAATAGGGACTTACAAAATGAGTTTTTTCTGTGTGTTTTTTAATTTGGCGTGACTCTGCACAGAGGATGGTGCTGAAAAGGATGACTAACTAGCCCCCAGTGAACTGTGTGGGGATGTGGGAAGAATGTACTGCAGCTTCTATTGAAAAAAATGCTAAAATGAGAGGGAAATCCTTTTAGGAGGTAATTCGCAGTCAGCTCCCCTAGGACAGCTCTGGCACCACCCAGCCCTGAATATCAGATACCCCTTGTCTTATAAAACTGCCCGTTATTCCAATTCAAAAGATTTGTACCTAGAAAATATTTTGCACATCAGCACTCCACAGGACGGGTGCTGCTGCATTGCAAAGGTCCTTTATGTATTAATGTTGTTTGAAACAGAGGTGAGCATACACCAATCTAAATTGTTATCAGAACACGCACGCCTGCCCTGAAATTGTGTCTGTCAAATTAACTCCTATTTGCCTTGCAAGGAAGAAAAACGGGACTGATAAAAAGGAAGCAGATGCATGCTAAATACTCCATAGCTGCTAAAAGGGACAAGGGAGAAGAGATATTCCTCTTGTTGAATTATGTCAGGTTTTGTTCTGATGTTTTAGGCTACAATTCCACACAGGCTTACTAGGGAGTAAAGCCTCGCTGAACACAGCTACACTTTCTTTTGAGTACACATGTATAGGATTGCATTGTTAAGACTCATTTGGGAAACTAACTTGCATCACAAAGGTAGCAAAACACCCCCTTATGCAAAGTTAACATCAACTAACTTTGATAACATGAGTCCCTTCCATCCCTTTGCTTTCTTACCTCTCCAGCAAAGCCTCAAGTCTAAAAAGCCCCCCCAAAGTGACCAAGTACTAACCGCATTTGTCACCAGAGTCATCAAACTCCACGTTGAAGGAATGCCCATTGTTCACTATGTTTTTGGCTGCAGATGGGTCATAACTGATATTCAGGGACTTCAAGGAGGCATCATACTTGGCAGACTTCGGTTGGATGTTGATTGGGGACTGCCGCTCTCCATTGGCAATGGGGAAGTTCTCATGCCAGTGAGCAGGTCCTAGAAAGAAAGAGAGAGAGAGAAGAAAGCACAAGAGTAAAACACCCGCAGACTACAGAGCCATGGCTGATTTTATTTTTTTTAAAGGAGCAAAACTCAATGGAGGCTTTAATGCCTTAAGTGCAGCTGGGAGGCTTTAACATTTGCCTCATCAATATTGAATGCAGGAATGAAATGATCTCTTGGCCAGCTGGAATTGGAAGCCTTAGCTACCAGGCAGAGACAGATCATGCTGCGGAGCAATTGGTGGGATGAGGGAGGTTTTGTAAGCCTGGATCTAAGCTTGCCTGGATCTGGGAATTGGTGTGTGGGAGGGAGGGAATAACTGGCAGAGAGGGATCTGAAAGGAATGCAGCAACTTTGTATTTCCAGGTTGAAGAAAATGAGTTTGTGGCTATAGCACCTGGCAATCACACTGCTCCGTGGGCATGACAAGCAGCACCTCTGCAGCTCTGCAAAGCGATGAACTGGACTGGCAAAATCCCCACCATACAGTTGCGGCAGCTCCCATCTCACACAATCCAATTTCCCAAATGTGGGGAAGAATGGAAGGTGGGGGGTGGGTGACCTATGCCAACCACTCACACTTAAGATGCAGATTACCACCTCTCCTAATTCATGGGGAGCCTAGTTCCTATGTCACACTTGTGAAATTGCCCCCAATAATCAGATGGGGATTGGAAGGATTCCTGTCCCTCTTGCATGTTGCAAAAAGCATATGTGCGCAGGAAGTTTCAGGCAGGCTCCTTGCGTGGAAGATGGGAGAGTGGACCTTAGGCGCACTACACGGGGCTGACACTCCTAGGGAGAGCCAGGTGGCCGTGGAAGAGTCTGCCTAGAGCTCCCCATCACTTCCATCTCAAACACCTGTGGTGGGACCCCTAGAGGTCCTCGCCTTCCCCATTTCCTCAGCCAGAGATGTCCTGCTGCTGGCAACTCTGCTCGGACGAGCCGTCCTTTGATGGGAACAAAGATCGCACCTCTAACTGCGGATCCATTAATGGATCGCAGCCGCTGAGTTGCGCCCCTTTCTGAGCCGGACTAAGGAGTCTCTCCGTTTCGCCTGGGAAACCTGAAAAAAACCAAAACACAGGCTCTGTCCTGAAAGCCCCTTCCCGGGCTGGAAGCGCAGCCCCGCAGAGCCGCCTCAGGTAGCGCCGAGCGGCTGCGGAGTGCGCTCCCCTTCGGGATGTCCGTCCACGGCAGCAGCAGGTGCCGCGCCGGACTCGCCACGAATGCCAGGGGAACAAGCAGGAGCAGCAGGAGCAGCCGCGGGGTCGCCGCGTCAGGTGGGCGAAGGCGACCCTCCTTGGTGGCGAGGGACTCACCGTTGTCCTTGCCGTAACCCCAAGACATGGTGATGGTGATGGCTCAGCGGCGCCCGGGTTCCTCCTCCTCGTCGTCGTCTGCTGTGGCTCGTGCTGCTGCTGCTGCCGCTCGCGCGCTGTGTGGCGCCTTGCTCTCGCTTGCCGGTGCTGGCGGTGGCGCTGGGGTTCTTGTCAGGGGCTTTTATAGGCTCCGGCCAACTCCATGCCCCTCGCGGACATCGCTGAGGTGAGCGAGGGAGGAGCACGAGAAGGAGGAGGAGGAGGAGGTTCCCAGCGGAGCGCGCGCTCCGAGAGCCGCCGGGGGGGTGGGGAGAGAAGGTGGCCGGCTGCCAGGCAAGCGCCGCGCGCGGTTGCCTCCTCACACGGTCCCGGGAGGAGCCGCCGCCGCCGCCGCCTCTGCCGCTCTGGTCGCCGGGGCTCCTGTTCCGTCACTGTAGCGGCAGGCGCCGCCACCGCGCCGCGTCACACCAAGCCGGAGCCTGGCACAGGCGGGAGCTGCCGGCGCTGCGCAAGCGAGGGTCGCCTCAGGCCCGCAGGGGAGGATCGGGTGGGCGCTCGCGGGGCAAGAGGAAGGCGGTGTGTAGCTTGAGGGTGGCGGGGTGTATGTGTGTGTGTGGCGGAGTCTCGCGCGCGTCCTTCGGACCGCGGCCTTCCTCCTGGCTCTGGGCCGCCGCCGCGGCGACTCCCTGCCACGCAACTCCGCGTCCCACACGCGCTGGAGCTCCATGCTTCGGAGGCGGGAAAGAAGAGCCCTCGCGGGGCTGACCTTGGGACGCGTTCGCGCGCGCGCTGCGGGGAATCAGGCGGACAGGAAAGAAAGGAAAGGGGGCGCGCGGAGGCGGCCTGATATGTGAGGAGACGCGGCGAGTCCCGAGACGGGGGCGAGGGGGCGTAGGGTCGCCGGGCTGCCCCGGAGGGACCTCGCGGAGAGTCGGCGCCCTGAAGTTGCCTCGGAGGGCGGGGTGAGACAGGGACGCTTCGGGGCATCGCTTCCTTCGCTTGTGCCCTTCAACGACCCTGTTTGTCGGAACTCGCGATCAGGAACCAGTGATTCCGCCCGCCCCCCGGTCGCCTTCCGACGGTCTGCTTGCAGATCAAAAGGGGAGGCTGCACGTTTAGAAGTGGGAGTCGGTGGCTGAAGCCTCTGGCAAGAGGCGGCCCACCTGATGCACCGATTTCGCCTCGCGTTCGTTTTTAAAAATCAGGTTTTCAAAAATCCATTGAAAGAGCGAGACTCTTTTTTTTTTTTAGATTATTAGACTATTTTTTTTAAAGAGTCTTGTTAGAAGGGTGGAATCGGTGACAGCTTGCCCTCTTCCCGTCCCCCAAAGTGTCATTTCTAGCCCTCCTGAGGATGCCCTACTTACTAGCTGGAGCATGAGAGAGATGCCAACAATACAAAGTAAGAAAGAAACAAAACTTCCAGCCTTGTTCACTGACACCCCCCTGGCGACGGCGGTTTGCCTCCTTGAAAGTGGGTAGAGAGTTTGCCAGTAGAATAAATCTCCAGGAACTTCCACTGCTAGTAGACAAAGTTACTGAATCCTGGCAGGGGTTTATGTGAGTTGTAGTCCAAAACATCTGGAGGTCGGGAAGTTGCAAAAAGCTGCTTCATCCCTTCCCAGCTACATTTTCCATTAGCACAGAAATCTTACTATTTTCATTGTGTGCATTGCTATCTTTTTTACTTTTATGTGCAGTTTCGTATGCACATCTCAATTTCTAATGGACTTAAATTAGATTTTATAACCAAAAGGATTAACAAACAAACAAACACATTCCAATTAAATTTGATTGTTAACTTAGGGGGAAACTATATATAGCACTGTGTAAGAAAGCCCTGTTTTTGTTTTGTTTTGTTTAAAAACAGCTTTAGAAGGGCAACTTATGAAATGCAGCAGGATACACACACATTTGTATAAACTACTCCAACTTGCAGAATCTGCTGTTTTCCAGTTAAAGGCTGCCAGGCCTCCTAGTATGGCTTTGCAGGTATCATGTAGTTTGTCCCTTAACAGAGCCACTACCTCATCCCAAATGAATAAACCGTAAAAGGGTTCCAGTGCTGTAAAGTTTAGATGAAAAGATTCAAATAAAACTACGGTAGGACAAAAGAATATGGGTGTATGAGTAGCTCCTTGCCTTTACCTTTGTACCTCATTGCCGCAAATAATAAAGATAAGTGAGTGACAGGCTCTGCAAACTCTTCACAGGAGGAAATTTACTCTGTGAGAGTAGTATAAATTGTCACCAAGTTAGTGACTTCTTCAAGTTAAGTAAGTCATGGGCTTGTGTATTTTCATGACTCAGTTGATATGTCAGCAATTTTAGAATAGTCTTATGGGCTTCGGAAGAATCTAGCAGTATCCTTTTCCATGTAAGTAATGTGGAAAAGGACATGCAGTTAATAGTCCTTGTTGGTAAAGGGCCCGACAGACTTACATAATAAAACCGAACGTTGGCATAACCTCATGGTTTATATCTGCGCTGCAGACTGAAATAAAGGGCCATTAGGCCGTTGTCTCTGGAAAGGAAAGTGTGATTATATAATTTATTTATCCCTCCTAATAGCAAAAAACGAGCCAAGTGAGACTTGCTTGGAAGAAAGAGAGGCACTTCTCAGGGCTCTTTGAGGATTATCAGAAAATGCTTCAAAGATTATTACTAATTAACTAAGTCCTTGCGTTCTCTCACACTTCCATGCTTCCATTCAGAATGCAGCAGCGACCTTAGTGCACAATTGGAAAGCCACAACAAATATGCACACAACAAGTTAACAAAAATTAAATACCCATACATGAAAATCTTTGGAGACTGCGTTCCAGGTTCCGCCATATTTGAGAGATCAAGTAACTCTGCTATACACTGGTAATGATACATGTATGCTACTGCCAGCATTAGAAGCAGCTTGCCTCTGAATTGACAGAGTGTGGTGCTCATGTCTTCTGCTTGAGTTGCCCATAGGCCTCTGGTTGGCCACTGTGGGAAGCAGGATCATAGACTAAGTAGGGCTTTGGTGTGGTTCAGACAGGCTCTTTGCGATTGTGATGTCCTGACTGTGCAATGCCCCCTCCTGAAATATGTTCACCCAGATCCTATAATATCTTTTAGGTGCCAGGCGAAAACTTCTGCTCACTGAAGCCACTGCCATGTTTTAATAATGGATGGTTTTCTGTTGCGATGCTACTGCTTTTCTGAATTGCTTTTGCATTTGTATGTTACATTTAATAAGTTCATACTCTGGTTTCCCTTCAGATCATATAAATCTATCAAATTTGCATTTTTTGTAATCCGCAATAGAGATAGTAGTTGCGATATAACTCTTCCATCAATAAATAAATAAATAAATAAATAAATAAATAAATAAATAAGCAATTGATTATCCATTATCCACTAATTCCCATATGTGATACTTTTGCTAGCAGAAGTGGCTGATAGACTGATCAGCACAAGGTCAATCTCAGTTTCAGCAATTCATTCATAATTTCAGTGGTATTTACCTCCACCAAGGTGTGTTTAGGATTGGATTAGAAGCATGATCTGAACAAGCTATTAATGTTTGTGTCTCGCATGCTGTCTCATGAAACATCTAGTGTTTCATTTTTCATTTGCCACCTTTATGTTACACGGTTACATATTGTTGTAATAAACAGAATTCACCTTTTTTGTTTTGTTTTGTGCTGTGCTGACTTTTTAATGAAGTATGAATGTAAACTTCGCTGGGTTGAATTACCCATTCATACAGACTCCTTGTTCTTGGCAGGAACTAACTATAATTAACAAACTCTATAATTCACAAATTATAATTCACAAACTCAGAGAGGTAAACCCAAGTCTATGAACCCAAGTCTCAAGGGCAAATCACGTCCAGGCACTGCTTTAGCACAATCTGTTTATTAAAATGCAGTTTGCAGGAATGAATCATAGGAACACAGAATGCTGTCTTGTACCAAGTCAGTCCTTCTAGTTTACTGACCATCCACTGACTGGCTGTTACTCTCCAGGGCTTCAGAGAGGGGACATTGGAGATGCAGGCGATTGAACCTGAGATGCTTTTGCTCTAACGCTAAACTGTGACCCTTCCCACAAGCAAATTTCGCTTAAATGAATGGAACAGCATTCATTCAGTAGATAAGGTTGGTTGATTTCACCGTGTCCCCACAATGGAGTAGATGAACAACTTGAAGATACATTATATCCTGAATAATATGTGCACAGCCTTCAGAAAATGTACCTGAGGACAGGAAGTAGTTGCCCTGGGGGGGGGGTAATAGTTTTCATTCAAACAAAGCTCTAGGAGTATAAATAGCCACAAGGGTTTACTCTGTGCTTGTCTTTCCTGGTACCTTTGTGCAGATGAGATCTAAGGGCTTTGCCTTTGCCCATGAACATTCTTGGGCTTGATAGCATCTTTGAGTTACCATAGTAAATATTCATGAACACAAATACAGCCAGAGGGTCCATCATGCATTGTGCAGGGGTTGATAAAAGCAAAGTGCTGTGAACTAGACTTTGTTTCAGTTAAAATGGGAATAAATGTATGAGCATTATGGACAGGAGTCTGTTCGCAGTGTATGTACACTGTATACTGCACGTAAAAATGTACAGCTGTCATCACCCAGCCCCCACTGAAGGATTTGTGGGGGCACATCACAATCCTGGATTTGCACAAAGTCAGGGGAGGGAGCAAAAGAGAAAGCAGGTCACATAATCCCAGTGGTCATAGAATGGGAGTGAGAAGGGAGAGAGACTGAGATGGAGAAAGTGGTGTAAAACAACGCAGGTTGAGGAAGAATTGAGGGAACTGAGAAGAAAGTGGCAGATTTTTTTTAAAAAAAAATGCAAAGGTTTGAATAAAAAATGATATTTGAGGGCTTTTCATCTACGTCTCTCCCACAAGACAGCTAAGGAATGGAAGAGGGGAAAGCGCAGCAAGAAGGGAGAGCACTGAAAGGAAGAAAACACATTAAAATAACAGATTTTTTGAGTCTGATCATCTTATAGAAACATCAGCAACAGGGGACTGCATAACAGGAGAGGTGACAAGGCACAGAAATGGAGGTGATCTGTGTGCAAGGGAAAGTTGAGGAAAGGGAGGAGAATGGAGGGGAAAAGGAAGAGAAGGTGACAATGGGGGGAGGTTGCAAAAAGAAGGGAGTAGGAGGCATGGGAATGGAGTTCAGTATGAAAGCAGGATTTTGAAAGGGTCCTAGGTCATAGAAGTGTAGAGTTGGAAAGGACCCTGAGGATCATCTAATCCAATATGCAGATGTCCCATACAGGATCGAAGCTGCAACCTTGGTGTTACCAGCACCACAGAGCGGCTGGTGGTTTCATAACTGCGCAGAAG